CGCTGACACTAAGAACTCCCCGCGTTAGAGTTTATTTGAAGGCTCTTAACCCCCGAGATGTCGTAGGTTATCCTTGGGTCACTCTTGACTTGACTGCGAGAAGGCGGGAGTTGAACGGAGGAGAATTGGCGGGAAAGAGGGCGGCGCGAGACAAAATGGCGGGAAAAGCATCGTTACCAGAGATGTCGACCGTTTGTGTGTGAGAAGTTAATCGCTTTTTTAAGTTTTTGTAGAATTCAGTTAGGTATGGAATATTGTTGTTGATGTTTTATTGTAGAATTATTATTATTATTATTTTAGCTACTCGTAGAATTCATCTGTATGCATTTTTTATAATTACTCGTAGAATTATTCATCTATATGCATTGCTATTTCATTTTTTATGGTTATTCATCTGTATGCATTGTTTTTTAAATTACTCGTAGAATTATTCATCTATATGCAGGGTTATTTCATTTTTATGGTAGAATTATTCATCTGTATGCATTGTTGTTTTTAATTACTCGTAGAAATATTCATCTGTATGCAGTGTTGCCATTGGCATTTCTCCCCGCTAAAAAAAGAAGAGAAAAACCGCTAAATGTAGCGTAAACTTTTTAAAGTCCCGCTAGAAAATAGCTCAACAATTCTAGCGGGAAAATCGCTTAACTGGCAACACTGTATGTATATAATTTATGGTGTTCTTCAGAAAAACTAAAATAATCATTTAACTAATAGGATAAAGCATTTTGAAATTTGGAACCAGAACGAAAAGGAATATGATAAAGACCAATAAAAAAGGAATGTAATAAAGACCAATAAAAAAGGAATATGATAAAGACCAATAAAAAATGAATATAGAATAATGTCGAGAAAAAAAACATATAAATCAGAAAATATATAGATAAATAACCAGATTAAAAGTTAGAATAAAATAGAACAATAAACAAATCGAAAAGCATATATATAGACATTGTTTGGAATTTTGAACATTTGCGCAAAGTGAAAAATGGTGAAAATAGAAAAAAAAACATGGATGTGAAATGCATGTTGTCTGGGTGACTAGAATTGCATTTGTCAAAGGAAAAGAGAGAGGAAAGGAAATGTGTGTGTGTGTGTGGTGTGTGTGTGTGTGTGTGTGTGCGTGTGTGTGTGTGTGTGTGTGTGTGTTGTGTGTGTGTGTGTGTGTGTGTGTGTGTGTGTGTGTGTGTGTGTGTGTGTGTGTGTGTGTGTGTGTGTGTGTGTGTGTGTGTGTGTGTGTTTCTGTGTGTGTGTGTGTGTGTGTGTGTGTGTGTGTGTGTTGTGTGTGTGTGTGTGTGTATGTAGTAGAAGTAGTAGTAGTAGTAGTAGTAATAGTAGTAGTGGTAGTAGCAGGAGTAGTAGAAGGGTGGTAGTAATGGTAGTAGATAGTGGTAGGAAATAGTACAACTACTATTAGTACTAGTAATGATAATAGTAGTAGTAGCAGCAGTAGTAGTAGGGTAGTAGTAATAGTTGTAGTGGTAGTGGTATTAATACTAGTTGTAGTAGTAGTAGTATAGTAGTAATGGTAGAGTTTGTAGTAGTAGTAGTAGTAGTAGCATCAGCAGTAGGGTAGTAGTAATAGTTAGTAATGGTAGTAGTAGGTAGTTGTAGCAGTGGTAGTGGTGGCGGTAAGTGTAGTAAGTAGTAAAGTAGTAGTAAGTAGTAGTAGTGTAGTAGTAAGTAGTAGTAGTGCTAGTACTAGTAGTAGCGGTGGTAGTGGTGGTGGTAGCGTAGTAGTAGAAGAGTAGCAGCAGCCTAACCGAAGTGACGGTGGTACTTCGACCTTCAACCCTTCCCTCGCAGCCATATCTACACCTCCATCTACACCTCCATTCATCCTTCTCCCATAGCCCAGGTTTCATTCATACTTCCGCGTAGCCTCTTCTTCTCAGGACGCGCTCCTGGCTGGCTCTCGACGCCCTGCTAACTGTGGGTGTCCGTGAAAGAGTTTGAGGGGCTTCGTGATGGCGTTCCTTTCAGGTTGAGTTGCGGGAGCGGCCGGTGTGACGTCATCTATGGAGCGGTGATGGTTTTTTGCTTTTTCTTTGTTTCTTGTTTCTTGTTTGGGTCTTGTTTTCTTTCATTCTCTTTAGTTCTTTTTTTTCTCTTTTCTCTCTTTTTCTTTCTCTATTTCCTTCTCTCTCTCTATCTCTCTCTCTCTACTATATATATATATAATATATATATATATATATATATATATATATATATATATATATATATATGGAAGTTCACGTTAACTGTTGCCTTCCATGTTGAATTAGCCCCTTGTTAGTATTTTTCGTCTTTTTTTCTTTCAGCAACATAAAGTTGGTGTACAGTAACTTCGTAACTTTTTTTTTTTTTTTTTTTTTTTACAGAATTTAGACTGTACTTCATCATGAACACAACAAAGGCTTCTTGCTTTCATCCATCGTTTGTGCAAGATCAAAGGAAGATCCCGGCTTGGCAAACCGTCTTGCGACCGATTATCAAGGTAACTACTATTTCGTTGAGACTAATGACTTTGATTGGCAATTTGACCAATTTTCTGAACAGCAGCTCTAGGGCGAAATCACCTATGATTGCTCGTTTGGCCTTAACTAGCGGTATATTTTGACTTTTCTCTACTTTCGGCTTGACTTGATGCGTTTTGGCGGGGTGTGTGACTTGTCGGAGATAGTGTTAGTGTTGGATAGTTCTGATATTCTGTCTAAGGAAGTTTTCAGTCGTTTTATGCAGTCCCCAAATTCTTTTTTTTCTTCTTCATCTTTTTTTCACTTGTTTACTTTTATTTTATATTTATTAATTTTGTATTTTATTTATTTATTTATTTATTCATTCATTTTTTAAAGTAAACATATTTTTGTTGTCAACAAGCGTTCGAAACTCAGAAGGTCCATCGATGTATTACCATTGTTATTATCATTTGTACTTTTTTTCCTTTTTTGGGAACTCCTTATCTATGTTTAAGTAATTTCCTATAGTAAAGTAAACCATTTAACTCCAACCAGTGTAAATAAAAGAAAATAAAACAACCCCATCTCTCCGATATAGACAAATTCCAAAGAATCGGACACACGCGAACCGCCGTTTTTGTAAGCAAATTCATGAATCCGGCGACTCGATCCGGATCAAGCAGACGAAAGAGGGAGGATCTGGGCGTTCGTGACGGGCCATATGATGCGATCCCGGAAGACCTCAATGTCTTTCAAAAAAAAGAGGGTGCGCTTTGGGGTATTTTCTGGATTTTTCTTTTTTTTTTTTTTTCTTTTTTCTTTGTGTCTGTAATACATTGTTTTTTCTTTCTCTTTGTATCAAATTTTCTTTTTTCTTTTTTTCTTTCTCTCTCTCTTCTCTCTCTCTCTCTCTCTCTCTCTCTCTCTCTCTCTCTCTCTCTCTCTCTCTCTCTCTCGCTCTTCTCTCTTCTCTCTCTCTCTCTCCTCTCTCTCTCTCTCTCTCTCTTCGTGCTCCTTCTCGTCTCTCATCTCTCTTCTCTCTCTCTCTCTCTCCTCTCCCTCTCTCTCTCTCTCTCTCTCTCCTCTCTCTCTCTCTCTCTCTCTCTCTCTCCTCTCTCTCTCTCTCTCTCTCTCTCTCCTCTCTTCTCCTCTCTCTCTCTCTCTCTCTCTCTCTCTCTCCTCTCTCTCCTCTCTCTCTCTCTCTCTCTCCTCTCCCTTCTCCTCTCTCTTTCTCTCTCTCTCTCTCCTCTCTCTCTCTCTCTCTCTCCCCTCTCCTCTCTTCTCTCTCTCCTCCCTCTCTCTTCCTCTCGTTTCTCTCTTCTCCTCTCTTCCCTCTTTCTCTCAATCTTTTTCCCCTTTTTTCTTTCGTCTCATAGCTCTTTTTCGATAGGATTAGTAATGAAACCGTAGAATAGTAAAGTGGCAATAGTATTCTGCACGATCAAGGTCACAGCAGTAGTTAAGTATTGTTTAAATAATGGAGATAATGGTGATGATAATGATCAAACTTCAATCAATTCTGTTGCAACCACTGTCAGGTTTATGCTTTTAATACATACATGTGTGTGTGTGTATGTGTGTGTGTGTGTGGTCTGTGTATGCTGTGTGTGTGTGTGTGTATGTGGTGTGTGTGTTGTGTGTGTGTGTGTGTGTGTGTGTGTGTGTGTGTGTGTGTGTGTGTATGTGTGTGTGTGCGTATATTTTTTGTGTGCGTTCGAGTGCATGTACATCGGCATATATTCACATTCACGAAATCTAGTTTGTTAAAATATCATTCTTAACAACCCACGTACTTCCTTTGCAGTTATGAACTTTTGCGAATCCTCTTTTCATCCACCATATCCGCTTCACGTGGATTATCCTTTATTACATTCGGCCATCTGCTGTGTACAAAGCTTTCCTTGATCTGTATGAAGCCAGGATATCCGTAACTGGTCTCCTATTTTGATGTTGTTTTTGTTGTTGTTTTTTTGGGGTTGTTTGTTCAGTGCGAATTTTCTCTGTTGACTGATCTTTTTTTGTTTTTGTTTTTGTTTCTTCTTAATTGGAGGTATTGGAAATTATGTTGACATTTTTGTTTGTTTGTTTTTTTCTTAATTGAAGACATTGGAAATTATGTTAACTGAGTTTTGTTTTGTTTTCTTTTGTTTTTTTTTTTTTTCTTAAATGAAATCATTGGAAATTACGTTGAATTATTTTTTCTTAAATGAAATTGAAAATTATATTGACTGATCACTTTGTTTTTTTTTCCTTAATTGAAGACACTGGAAATAATGTTGACATAATTTTTATTTTTTCTCTATTAATTGAAAACATTGATGACTGATTTTTTTTTTCTTAATTGAAAACATTGAAATTGTTCCTGTTTTTTTATGAAATCATTTGAAATTATGTTGAATGATCACTTTGTTTTCTCTTTTTCTTCTTGATTGAAAATATTGAAATCACGTCCTCGTTGCATTTTTCTTGGCGTTGTTATCTCAATGAAAGGTTATCAACGTTTTAACTTTCACTCTCCTAAGATAACCAGCAGCTTCTTATCCCCTCGTCTTGAGATTC